TTTATTTATTTTTTTTTATACATTTTTATTTATTTTTTTTTATACATTTTTATTTATTTATTTTTTTTTATAAATTTTTTTAATTTTGTTATTATTTTTTTTATCATAATTTTTTATATTATTATTTTATTTCATTTTATAGTATTTTATTTACTTTTGTTTTATATTTTTTTTTAATTTTCATTTGGTTTTTAAGTTTTTAATTTCTGTTTTGTTTTAATATTTTTTTGTTTTTAATTTTAATTTATTTTTTTACTTTTCAATTTCTATTTTGTTTTTTTAATTTAATTTTTATTTTCAAAATTTTTTTTTTAAATTTTATTTTCAAATTTTTTTTAATTTTTACTTTCAAAATTTTTTTTATTTAATTTTTTTAATTTTATTTCTAATTTTTTTATTGTTAATTTTTTTCCTAATCTATGTTTTCAATGGGTTCTGTCAGCATTTTCTGCAATTCGTTAATTAAATTAAGTTATTCACTGCCTTTTTTTCACCCCTTCATTTTTATTTTCCATTGGCTTACGATTTGTCTCTGCTGTGTTTTTTTTTTGCCTTTCGCTTTGTTATTTGTTGGTCAAAAACTCTATTTTTTTTATTTCGCTGTGTTACGCCCTTCACGCCGCGAAGTATGTACCTCATCGCGCAGTTGGCTACGCACGGCTACATTGTCCGAACACGTCAGAGTCCAACGACCGCGCATATGCTGACGATAAGGTGCTTTAATAAATTAAAGTCAATTTTCAATGTCAATCGGCTTTAGCGCTTTTTTATTAAATAAAAAGGGATTTTTAATATTATCAATGAATTCTATAAAAACACATTTTTCCATATAATGCGGAGTTACACAAGAAAATAAGAAATGTGCATTCTGTAATCAGCAAATAATTCAAACACTAGTACATTTGAGATAGCTGGGTTTTGCACGCACAAAGATTCTAAGAAAAGTATATGCATTTGTATTTTACTTTTATTTGTAAACAATTTCATATCGCCGTTTAAAAATAGCATTCCACATTGGCTTGCAGTTAATACAAGGGTCCGATAACGCCAACAAAAGTACTGTGGTTGAAGTATATTAGTCATCAACATTTACTCTTTCGTATTGTTTCCTGATTTTATTTGCCTTTCGATTTTCTTATGATAATTTATGCTCACTCGTCTTTATACAAAAGAAACCTATAATACTAACAACTCATAGTGTTTTTGTAATCAACTTGAATATTAAAATCGAAAAATAGACAGTTTTCTCTTTAAGCTACAAGCAGGTATGCTTTTTAAGAAAATATTTAAATAATTTTTAATTTGAAAAATAAAAAATTAAACGCGACTGCGCACCATTCAATTTCGGTGCACATCGTTAACGGGCTCGTCCGGGAATTGAACCCGGGACCTCTCGCACCCGAAGCGAGAATCATACCTCTAGACCAACGAGCCATACATTCGATGTTCGCTAATAAGCAATAAGCGTACAGTGTGCTGGTGGTTGTTTTTTGTATACTCACCACGAGAGCAAGGTGTTGGGTTATCAGCAAATGTGGTGAATTTTGAAAGTGTGCAGTGCTGTATTTTGACGCATGAAATTTGTATAGTACTTAATAATTGCAATAAATTATTTGTTGAAGTTATTGATTTTTATTTTTTTTTAATATTTAATAAGTTGTATTGTTTATCATGGAAGTTTTTAACAGTTATTCACTTTTGAGAGCTAATAGCTGAGAATTTTAAGTCTTCCTGTGTCTAAAGTCTATGGATCTGGTAATTGGGTTTGGTGATAGCCTTTGTTTGGACATAAATCAGCTCTAGGTCTGGTTGTGCAGATCAGACTAATGTCGTTGTTCCGTTCACACGACAGTCGGAACTTTCGGTCCGTCTTTCAACAATTTCATTAAAATTATTTTGCCTGTACAACACAACATCTCGAACTCTCTCACTCTCAACAGGAAACATTAAGTTTGCTAAGATATTTGTAATGCCCAAAAAGAAACTGCGGCGACCCAAGAAGCTATTCATTTGTCGAAACCGCCCAATATATCGAACCACTATACCATTTAGTTGCCATACCAACTCAACGAACAAACTCAATATCCTTTATGGAACACTTCATAATTGGACGAAGTTTCTTTTAAAAATTGGCATTGATTATTATCCAAGATATCGCTATAATCTTCGAACAAATTGTTCAGATCGGACAGCTATAGCATATAGCAAATGCACCTGTGAAGGGTATTACGGCTCGGTGCTGTCGAAGTTAACGGTTTTGTTCTTTGTTTATTTACATTTTCATGTTTATTGCAATCACAGCTACTTTTTAGAGCTTGTTTATGTAATCATGCCTCTATTAATGTTTGTATATTTACGTGGTTTTCTACCGATAGCTTAGTGTGTATGCGCGGTGCTATAATCCAAGGTCGTATGTTCGAAACCTACTGCTTGTAATATGCAGCTTGAAATTTTTTTAAAAGACCTAACCACAGGAGCGTTGATACAATTATTAGAGAGAAAAAGTCAATTATTTTAGAAAAGTCGTCTCAGTTTTATCATAAAAATAATTAATATGCGAAAACGAATTGCTGAAATTGGGCCTAAAAACGCTGCATATATTTTTACAATTCAAAGAACAAAAGTAAGTTGACGTTGAAATAATATTCATTGTTAGAGTTAATATTTTGTTTAGCTTGTCAGTAACAAAATCGAATTGAGCTTTCAACAGTTAATCGTGCAATTTGTATAGGAGTTGATAATCACTAAATAATATTTTTAATTTTTTATATTGTGAATGAATTTCTTGATTAAAATTGTAATAGAATGATTTTTCCATAAACCACCGTTAGTTCTTCCATTTTCTAATATAAAATAAAAATAATTGCGAAGTCGCATATCGTTCTTCTGATAAAATTTTAAGATTTATTTTATGAAAAATGGCACCAAGACATAAGAAAAAGAATTCGCTAAATTACCGTTTAGAGCTCGTGCGAAAACACAATACATCTGCAGCGGAAGCTATTCTTCAAAGCAGTTCACTGAGTGAAATTGAAAATAAGGCGCTTCGGAAGGATGAAATTTCCCAAAAACAAACACCTGAATTAGAACAGTTAATTCCAGAGAACTGCGTTTGTAATCGAGAGGCTAAAACTTTTGTTTGCATTTTTTGCAAAATGTTTAGTTTCGGACGTATCGCCGAAACGTGTAGCATTCATCCAAATGTAAGTGGACTGTATTTTTGCATTTTTGTAAATATGAATATTAATATATTACATGAAATGTCGCTTATTGTGTTGCCTATGTCAACATTGCAGCTGTTATGGCTTATATTTAGCAATAATTTTTTTTTTCCTTTCATGTAGGTTTCCTATCTGATGGATTTCACGTGCTGCCCGCATTGTTCTGGACCTTCGGAACATCTTCACATGGTTAATATGGAATATGAACGTTATTTCAAGATCTGAGAACTCTAAACTTGGTTTAGAATTGGTGGAAGTATTCAAAATACCTCAAGTGGTCAACCATATTAGATACTTATATAGCTTATATATTATTACATATATATTTCGTTTAGTATATAATTTTATACTATTGAGTATAATGGATTTTAAGTTATTTCAAGTTAAATAAATGAAGTACTAAAAATGAATGGAAAGTACTCAAATGTTTATTCTTTTGTTATTAAACAGAAATTGTTCTTCAGAAGATTTCCTAACAAGTTGGAGGTATGTATTTACTTAGAGTTTATACGTTGTTGTTTAAGTAAGCAGATTTCTTAAAACACGATTGCAGTGTTATGGAGATTAGAATGAACTTAGCGTTTCAACGCGTAATTTATTTATTTTCTGTAACCTGACAACTGTTGTATGCATACATGTACATATGTACTATTTCAGCACTCTAGTGCTATAAATCTCTATATGCTTCCTTCCAATTCCTTATTTATAGTCACTTAAGTTACCAATTTTTCTTATTGCCAACAAAAAAGTTCAATGCCATTTGCCTGACAACAACAACAACAGCTTCCATACGTATGTAGATAATTTGTTACATGAAGAAGAATATGTGAGAAATGCAAGGAATCGCTTACTTTACAAAAGGATACACCTAATTTTGTTATTTTCGATTTGCTGTCAGACCTGTTTAACACACATTTTACTACATATAAATACTTCTAATACGTGTACATATACATATGTCTACATAGACACTTCCCTTTTTAGTACCAATATTCAATTCCTCAACCATCGTGCCATACCATTATAACCCTCAATCACTTCTCAGGGGCGCTATTCAATCAATCTACGAAATTTACGTCCAGAAAGAGTTGGCGACGGCAGAGCGCAATTCAACGTAAATGACACAAAAGAAAAATGTATACAATTGTAAGCATGTGTTGATGTTCAACAATGAATGGCATGCTGTAAATATGAAGAGAAGGAGGAGCTGAAATAAAATATATTTAGAAAGAAAACCATGAGCTTCTACAGGCATCGGATTACACCGCACAGCACATATATTCCCACTAACCTGCTAACCAGTCAGCCACAGAACCACACAGTTTCTCAACCGCACACAAACGCTTCGCTGCTATACGCCCAGTGTGCAGCTGAGGCTTACAGATCAACAATTCGTGCGTAGTAAGTGTTGGAAATGCCACTTAATGTTTGTATGTATGAAATTATACCGATATGCAATTGCTTGAAACGTTAATGTAAATATGTCTGCAAGTCTCCTATTAAAGCTGCTAAGACTTCTACGGATAGTGAAATATAATAAATCATCATCAGCACATGGTTAACGGTATTGGTGAGTTTATGTTTATCGATAATTACAGTGAGGACGAAAAAAATGTTTACATTGAAAATAGTAGCCTAAAAGCTTAGCGTTTTTTCAGGTATTGTGACTCTCGGTGAGCGGACGTCGATTAATGTGCAACAGTTTTGATCGACTTGATATCTTCGGGACACCATCCAAAAAAAACGTTAATTTCGGTTGCTCCGAAGCTATGAAACCCTTCACAAATAATGGTCCGATATCATTGATTCAGACAAATGAGCAGCATCGTGGGTAGAAAAGGACGTGTTCAAAATTTTAGATCAATAGCTCAAAAACTGAGGAGGTAGTTTGAGTATCGTTTATCCAGTTCAGGCTATAAAAGTGGGGAAAATGAGAGAATATACAAATTATAAGACTAACGCAAGTTTAAATTGAATGAAAAGCTTGGCTGCTCACTAAAATATTTCGACAAAAACCTTGAGGTATGTGTTTTCATGAAATCGCACTGTAGTTAGTACATGTAAATATGTAACTAGTTAGTAGATATGTAGTTGTGTATGTAAATATTTGCTAGAAAAGCACGTGTTCACGCTGTTTACACTATTAACACCCGACCAAAGCATTTGGCAACATTTGCACTAAAATTTGCCTCCCCCAGACCTCAGCCGACACTTCAATGACGTTGCCTTGGTTGTTGCGGCCACACGTGAGCGTCTACAATAAGATTATTGGATACAGCATAGATGCATATGTCACACATCTACTTGTATGTACATATGTGTATGTATATGCACTATTGTGTTGGTATAGGAATTTTAAAATGCCAACAACAACTGCGGTTGCATTAGCAATGCATATATGCGTATGTGTAAGTATGTGGCATATAAAAACACATAAATGACATAATGGAAACTCTTAAGTAGTAAACTCAAGTGCGACCAACAAACTGAAGTGTATGTGTGCGGTGGCAGACGGCAGCCGAATGCCAAGCGTATTATACACCGAGATCTAAAGGATACTAAAATTGGTATTACATAACATACTTGTACTCGTGGATTTGCGATGAGTTTGCCTGAAAGGTTATGTGCGAAAATAAGGAAAGCGAATCAAATACAAGTGGCTATCGATATTTAATGTAGAACGCCTTTAAAATTGTTGCGGATAAAATAAATATCTCAAATCGTATTAATCTATCGCTTAACCTCAAAACCCTCTCTGATTAAAAAAAAAACAATAGTAAAGCAAAAAAAGAGAGTATGTGAAATGTGGATAGTTTGTGCGATTTGGTACTCTCTAATGCTGCGGCGAATCGTAAATCGCTTATTTTTGGAAACCTACTTCGGTAAGACCATCTTTATACCAATTTACAGACAGATAATTTGAACATTTTTCTGAAACACTTTTAAACAAAGAGTTTAGTGGAGAAATTGGTTGCCTAATCGCCTTAACTAACATATGTTAATGTAACAGAAATATTGTATAAACAAAAACTACCTCATATTTGAAGCTTTACTTCACTCCTACAATTAACTATAGCTCAGTAAAGTTAAAAAACTTAAATTTCTCACATTTTCCGCCTTACACACTCAATTCCTTAAATTATGTATAATAAATTTCCGCGAAATATGCAGTTTCGCAAAAATATCGACAACTTGTAAATCAAATGTATGATATTTATGATTTCGCCCACCGACACCATGACGCAAATACCTCGGAGGCCACAAAGAATAGCTTAAGGCTCGATGGCTGCAATTAATTTTTTTCTCATATACGCCCACATGACTTGGCCACAACGTAATGATTAAAAGGCTGTGACGCCAAACCGCCAATGGTCGCCACGAAAATGGCATAATTAAAAGTGCATTAAAGCCACATACGCATATGGATGGCCTGGCAGAAGGTGGTGGCTTGATGGAAGCGCCATTAAAGTCACGCATACGTCATGCGCAGCGAATGTGAAGTGCAAGTAATGTTTGCAATCAAAAATGTTAAATTTTATTTTGCATGTATATGGCGTGCACATTAAAGTCATTGCGGCTTGTTAAAGACTTGCGCGCGCGCATAAACTCGCTGCCAAGCGACGCCAGAGTTTGCCAGAGTCAGTTTAACGAACGGTCGTAAAGTGTGGCGAACATTAGAGTTTTGCGCCAAGCAGTAAGAATCCTCATTAAAACGGAAGTGCACATTTTTTGCTTTTATAATGAGCGACAGACAACGTACTCCCTGCGAAGGCTCGCAACTTTCTCAGCAACAACAACAACACCAAGTTGACACATTGACGGCGCGTTAAAGGCGACTGGGAACGCTTATATGCTGGGGCTTGTTGTTGCTGCTCCGCGCCGGGACAATAAAAAGGCAATATTCCAATTTTAGTTGGTGTGAAAGAAATCGCATGCAACCATTGGCTTGACTGTCAAAGACAATGACATTGTCGCCAACGCTGTTGCCTGGGCGGACACGCGCATATTCAGCCAACACAATGGCAAACGGCAGATAGTGTTGTTGCTTTCGTTGACATTGCTATGACAGTTGCAGCGCGGTATGTCGCAAAGTTTATTTACAATTTTATTCAGCAAACAGCGCTCTTTGCTTGACTTTATTGCGGTTTATTGCAATGCATAAGGGGTTCCCACTTGCCGACTTTATTGCGCGACAGCCAAGTGACTATGTGCGTATTTAAGCTCACAGTAGTGAGTCGGAGATTTCATGAAATTTACAAAGTTTGAATGAAAGAGTACAATTTTGCGAAGAGAACATTATTGGAGCTAAAAGCTTTAAGCTTGCTCAAAAGGGTTAATAGAATTTGCACGCAAATCGTATTAATTAACCTCTTGAACTAATATCTAAGTAACGTGGTCTACCAATAATTTATTAATTAATATTATATGTTATCAATTTTAGGCGACTCTTTTAAATAAATTTTTCAAATTTGGTGGCTGTTCTTATTTATTTGGCGTTACTGTGAACGCAGTTTGAGAACAATGCGTGTGATCAACAGTTTGAAAGTAAATGTACTCTATTTTAAAGAATTTCGCTAAATAAGTGATTTTTGTAACAGAATTACATACAAATTTAAGCCAACATATATATTTTATTAGTATATTTTTCTAAATATTATTATGATAATATATAAATTTTTTTTTTAACTTGCCAACCTCTCAATAAATTCATAGCTTTAAAAATAAAATATATATATAATTTCGCTCACACGCCGCACATTTAAATTCCAAAAAACTTATACACGCTTTCAATTTTGCATTTGTACAGCACTATAATTTAATATTCTTTAATATAAAACTTTAAACCAAACTTGCTCATCACTTTACGTACTTTCACATACGCTCCCCCCTACACAAGACAGACAAGTCTGCGAGATATTAGGGCTGGTTGCAGGCATTTTAATAACATTTGCTTAGCTCTGCACGTTTTTCATTTTGATGCTGCATTTCAATTTTATGAAGTTTAAGAAACGCAGTAAAATTTTTATATTTGCATTCGAGCAAGTTGAACTGAGCAAATAAAATTAGTTTACAAAGTTGTCTAGAACAATTTTAACTCTTATCAATAAAGTTGCACTTTATGTTGTAATCTTAACATGGATGCTATTGAGGCCAAGCTGCTGCTAGTTGACGTGATGTGAAATTTTGAAATCGCTGGAGGTGGTGGAGGCTTTCTCCAAATTTAAGGTAGGTGCATGTCTATAATCAGTTTGGAGTGGGAAAAATGTTGGTTTTGTTATAGTTTCTCTTTGTTACTCTTTGTAGTATTGAAACGCAGATTAAACAAGAAAAACGTTGATGATATATTAACCTACACAGGTGCATTATCTTTTTAGTATAAAAAGGTATGAAAAGATCTTTATCTTGATTGTGAGCGATC